AAGGCTAGATCAGATGGTACCATGCGAGGGACGCCTGTTGCAGCAGCTTTTTGTATGGTTGTCAATGAATCTTGTATTTTTCAGGCTTGCTGACTGTGGCTCAGCTACATAAACCATGTGTGTTCAATTTTATTTATATAACGTCAAATCACAACTGCTCACTGCCCGTTATATTGTAAGGTTAAGACCCTACAGCAATACAGAGAAAACCCTCTGGCAATCACTTGGTGACAGCAGGAACGAGAAGATTCCCCCTTTAATCAGCGAGAAACCTCCAGCAGAATCAGGCTCGGGGAGGAGCAGCTATCTGCCACAACTGGTTGGGGTGAAAAGAAGAAGACAGGACAAAAGACACATCAGGGCTTTATGAGAATGATGTTTTTGGATTTTTTCGGTGCCATTAATCCTTTGGGGTCCAGGATGAATTTGGCAGTTTTTCACTAATTTAACTTCACATTTATTTTTCGGTTTTAAAAACAGTTTACCTTCTTTGGCATCATTTTTTTCAGCACAACCTCATATCTGGCTGTACAGTTAGTTTTCATGTTATTGATCCATGAAACCAGATAAAACAAACCAATTAGTTAAACTGTGGGAAAGTTTTTAAAGACATAAAGGCCTGGATGACCTCTAATTTTCTGCTTTGAAATTCAGATAAAACCCAGCCCGAAAAATCGTAGGTAATGCTATCCAGAAAAAACAAAAACAACTTACTCTGGATGGCATTACCTTGGCCTCCAGTAACACTGTGAGGAACCTTGGAGTCATTTTTGACCAGGACATGTCCTTTGTGGAGCAGGGAAATTATTTTACTGCTATTGTTAAATAATCATCATCATTACCATTGCATTAATAATAGAATCTGCAGCATTGATATTGTATTCAGAGGGTTAAACAGTGTGTGTGTTTTAGAAAGAATAAGTTGCAGGCTGACAGGAAGTTGCAGAGAGTTTGCAGAAGGGAAAGCAGAGTCTAAGTTATTCTGAGCAGGTTAGACGAGGCTATTTGAATTACTAGGTTATTCAAATTGTCTGTTATACTTTTATATTATTTTACTAAGCTCTTAGTAGAGGTTCTTGATTAAAACATTTATTCAACATAGTACATATAGTTTCAGTTAGGTTATTACACATAAGGATGAGCCTCTGGTCTGGTAAAAGGTCAGAAGTGCAACGGGTGAGATGAGAGGGCATGTAGGGTCAACACATACACACACACACACACACACACACACACATTAGTAGACTCATTTATAGGTGAGAAGTTGGTCATGTTTGTCTCTGGAAAGAGGAACAGCGTCTGGCAGGATGTGGGGCTTGTGTTCCAGACGAGACGAAGACAACGTTCTTTTAAACTATGTTAAAAGGCATTGTGGTTTTGATTTGACGTATGTATATATTCTGTCTGTGACGTATGAAGGGGCGTCATTAATTCAAACCCCGATGCTATAAAAATCTATACATGCTTTGACTAAGTCGAAGATTAATTCCTGTCTGCGTACAGAGTCATCTTCCCACGCGTGTATTCATTAAAATCAATTGTTTGACCAAGATCTTCTGGACCTGGTTGTTTGTACTCTCCTTCCTCAATATTTGAACCTTAACACCTTCAATGCACATATTAAACAAATATGTAAGACTGCTTTCTTCCATTTGTGCAACATCTCTAAAATTAGAAATATCCTGTCTCAGAGTGATGCTGAAAAACTAGTTCATGCATTTATTACCAGCACAGAGAATGTGCTGGTATTGTCTTACCAGGTCCGTGAGATCTTCGACTCCCACCTCCAGCAAAACATCAACAGCATTCTGAAATGGCTGGGAACATTAAGTCCAAATGGACCACATTCTGCACCTCTATTGTTGAGGCTGCTACAAGGAGCCCAAAAAGGTGAAGGGAGAACGGAGCCATCAAACTGAAGTAGGAGTCCTACTGGACTTGGTTACCTAGTGGGACTTTGGACACAGCAGATCAGCAGACCAAGCTGAATGCTTGAAGAGAAGAACGTTTTAGGAGTGTCAATGGTGAGAGAGCAAGTGATAACGAGTTTTGAGATGTGAGGCCGGCAGGTTTCAGCCCTGCGATGTGTTCCTCTGTCTTGTGGTGGACAGAAACTATTTTTGGAGAGGCACAAATAAATTGCGTCGCATCTTAATTGTTCTGTAATTTTAGCGGTAGGAATATTGCAGAAGTTTTTTAATTTACAAATTACAGTTGCATTTCAAGTTATGAAGATGATTCAATAAACATCTTTGTGGTTTTTACAGTAAAAGAAAAATCTAACCATTTCCTACTCAGGTTTTTTGTTTTTTATGTGGTTTAGATCAGTTCTCTACAGTATGTATATGTAACTATAAATTTAGACATGTGAGGATGTGGTGAAAAGAATGATATCAAATAAGGCAAGCTAAATAGTTTTTAAAGGTAAAATCAAAAGTAGTGAAAAAATTGCCCCACTGGGTAAATAAACGCTGTCTTTAAGGACAAGAGCTTATTCATTTGTAACCCGGGCATCCATGGTGTTCGTATGGAAAAAGTTAATTGGATGCACACCCACCTGCCCTGTTCCACAGTGGTTCACTGCAACTTTTTCCCTCTAACAAGTTTTACTGAAAATTCACTTGCTAGTTTCCCAAGTAGAAAAAAGTAATGTTGTCTGATACAATACTACTAATACATCCATGGAAATGTTTAGTTATTTATGGTTAGATTTGATGATGAAGTCTGTGGTGCACTGGTCTACCCTCATTTACATGACTGCACTGCTTTATCTGTTCTCTCTGTGTGCCTTTTACTGTTCATTCTTGGTGTGGTAAAGTATATTCACTAACGTGTGGAATGTGATCATATGTAGTATCGCTACACACTGAGAAAGAGGTAAGGACACTATTATTTATCTTCATTGTAAGTAGATTAAACCAAAGAATGAGTTTAGAGATCATTAACACACAAATCCTCATCAGTGTCAGAACACACCTGCAATACGCCAGAGGCCATCTGTGTCCCAGCAGCACCATATGGCTGACTGTCAATAGATCGTTTGACTTAGTGACAGGAATCCGGCTAAAAGGGCCAAATCAACCTTCAGCACACTAATCCTTTAGCCAACATCTATATTAGTCACAGTCTGTTCCCTGCTCACTCACACACTGCTGTCTCATGTGACCTAGTAACACCTTTCTTGACCTGGATTGACAGTGGATCATATTTTACACATTTTACAAGCTGCATTAGCCTTTGCACTAGCAAGCTTAGTAAGTCATGGATCACATCCACTTGTAGATGCTGTTGCATTGCTGTAAGTAAATTAACCAACAGCCTCTGGAGTGAGTTTTCTTTAAAGGAATACTACAACTGTTCACTTTATACATGGGAATTAATTTGTACCAAATAATATCAAATGTGGACATTTTAATTTAAAAGCATAATCTCCCCCCTAGCTCTCAGCCTCATATCCAATGCATTGAATAATTTACCTAATCCTATAAAGCTGGCCAGTGCAGGGAGATCGAGGTTGGATATGGATACAAGTGGAATATTTTTGCATCAGAAGACGCGAAAGCAGGCATGAGTGCAGCAGAAGATGATGGTGGTGCTTGTTAGCAATTTCAAGCTGTTAGCTGCACCTTGACCCTGCCCTCGGGGTGGCTGTAGCTCAGGAGGTAGAGCAGGTCAACTACTAATCGCAAGGTTGGTGGTTCGACCCCTGGCCTCTCCAGTCTGCATGCCAAATATCCAAATATATGCAGGTTGTTCCCCGATGCATTAGACTTGTGAATGCCAGAAAGCATAGGTGGGGAATAAACAGTCCATTTAGAATTTTTTACTTGAATTTTCCCCACAGGCAGAACTATGAGTCTCTGTATTTTAAATTGTGACAAAACACAGGCCAAAGCTCAGATGGGTTTTACAGACCGTCACTCACAGGACAGATCTGGTGTAGTAGTAGCTCCACTACACCAGTGCTGGGCTTGATAGGTTCAGGGTAATTGTAAACAGGTGACCATTTAAAACAATGAAATGCAGAGTTTCCAAACTTTCTTAGCAGTGTTAACAACATCTTTGACCAAAAAACACTATCTGTCTGATGACTGTGCAAATGCAAAGAAAGAACACATTGCAGTATCAGATGGTTTATAACAGTCATAGTCACCGCAATTAGTGTCCATAGATGTCAATATGATGTCACTCCCTGCCATACATACCTACTCATTATTACTTAATACTCAGCAGTAATGGAGCACAGACATCTTGGGCCACATAGGAAGCCATATTATTTGTCAGTTACTTGCATTAAAATGCTCCAACAGGAACCAGCAGCACAAAGAGATTTGGAGATGTGCCTCAAAAGAGTTATATATGATCCACAGGCGTAAACCAAGACGTAGAACCCCAAACTAAGATGCAGTGGAAGCTCAGATGTCCCAGTTTTACACTGGAAATTGAATGTATCTTACATTTGTGGATCGGTGAGAAGATGGCAGCATTAAATTTGTCTCAAAACAGATGGTGGACACTGTGCGTATCAGGCGATTCGTCCACACATATTTAAGGTTTTGTAAGTGACCGAGAGAGAGCTGCATGTAGTTTTACACATTTGTACGGTTTTCAGAAGGTAAAATGATCAGATTTATGAGCTGAACTAATAAATCGTACGTACACGATCAGTATTTATTGTTTGGCTGTACACATTTTTAAAATTGCTTTTGCAATTTTGCGTAAAGATTTGTGTAAAGATTTCTTTCCATGAGTCCAGTTCAGTGACTGAGGGAGGTGAGGCCCAGCCACAGGGTTAGCACATGACGACTGTAGCTCTGACTGTGAGAAAGATTGATTTCAGCAGCTGCTGACAGAAGACACGTTTTCCATTCACAGTGCTACGATAAATCAAAGTGCTATTGGTCTTTAAACACCTCACTAAACCATGTGCCCACACATGCCTTTGTGTCCCGTACGGTCCTCCTGAGTCTGGAGGTCACTCAGGTTAATTTGCTCTGTACCTTGAACATCTGTTTGACCTTCTGTCGGGGCAGGTTGACATTGAGTTTGTGCAGGAGATGGAGAACTTCGCTGATGCTTAAGCTGCCATCGCCATTCTTATCAGCCTCTGTGAAGGTCTGCTTTAGCCATGTGGTGACACTCTGGTTAAGGAAAGTCACCACAACAGTTCAGCACATTTATCGTTTATAACCAGAGCAGTGTAACGTCAGTGCAATGGGTCAGTTCAGCCTGTCAATGCTTTAAATTGCCCTCTATTAATGTTTTGAAATTCTACAGTATGTAACATATGCAGTTACACGATACAGGTGAAGAGGCTGAAAGTAAACAGTACAATGAAAAGGATATTGGTCACGGGTGCGCTGCCTCTTAGCAAGGCTGTCCTCATCACTGATCCCAGCCACCAGGTACTTGAGGCCTGTGATCCAAGTGCGTGCCTCCTCACCAGTCGTGGACACCAGGTCCAGGGACTCCATGTGTTCTCCATAGTAGAGGCTGAAGCAACAGTTTGGGTCAAAGCTGCCCTCTGCATAGCGCTGGAAGATCTCAGACTGCTTACCCTCACACACCTCCCGGATGGAGTCGATGGAAACTGTTGGAGGACACAACAAGTCGGTGAGTTAGCGGTATAAGGCAACTTTAACACAGTATGGGAGTAAACAGACCATGAGGTATAATAATAATATTCATAATAATAATAATAATAATTTGATGTACTCTGGCTGTTGAGTCATTTGTTCTTGTGTATCGTTTTTCTAACTTTATTTTGAGCCTTACTCTTGCTGGGTTGTGTATGCTGCCATCTGGTTGTTAGTGTTCTTTGCATACCTCACAGGGGGAGTTACTATAATAAATTCAAGTTCTTCTTATTGCTATAATTTTATAAATTATGCACAAGCGTAAACTGTGTTCAGAGTGTTGAGCATTAGGAGAACGTCTGGAATCACTGTCTGTTGCTGATGATGGCGATGATAACGTCAGTTGTCCTCCTCCTCCAAGGACCGGACAAGTCACAACTTTTCCATTTATACGCTTGTACAGCAGGCTGTATTTCACCTACAGTTCAGCATTTTAACAGCTCAGGATTGGTTTAAACTCCGAAACAAATAAAGTTCAGTTAAGTGCCTGCGCTCTCTGATAGAACAGGCACTTAATTACTGATAACATTCAAGTTTTAAACAAATGATGCTTAGTTCTGACCACATCACAGACAGAATCTCTGTCCTCAGGTCGTCACACTGCTGCTTCGTAAAACAACAACAATCTGTAGTAGATGCTCTGATGCAGAAATAGGAGCATCAGAGCATCACATGACTTCAGTTTCCTGATGGAAGGAACCACTTATTTTCTCTTCTCCTGTAATTTTGTCTGCTGCATTTCTTTGTTTTCTTAATTCTGGTTTGTTCTGAGGTTAACTGCTAACTTAATTGTAAGCATATTCTCATGTTTTTGCCACTCAGACACTGAATTTGTGTGGCTTGTTCACTTTTTGCAAGAGAAACGTCTTTGCTGGGAACATGATGTCCATTGGGGCTAATGACATCTTCTTTGTCCACTATTGTGCAACTTTAGTGACACAGTATAAAGTAAGTATAGGAAATGTAAGCAGAAATGTAGCCTTAGTAGTGTTTACCTTGGAAATGTGAAGTACAACACGACTGCTTAAATGTTTAGTTTATAAATAACAGCAAGTTAACCTCGTACGTTGTTAGGAGCCTGCACATAAATAAAACTTTTCTACGTGGGGTGGGGCTTTTTTTTACCACTTACTTCAACCCATCTCTTCTGCCATGCAGCCACATCAGTAACTTCTATGAAGCATTTGCACTTCCTGTAATATGGAGTGCAGCAATCCTCAGCTGAGTGTTGAGTGGCTGCACTTGTAATTGTTTATGCCACTAGTGTTGAAACAAGTCTGGTGTTTTTACTCTCAGCAGGAACAGCTTCCTGGCATATTTTAAGCAGTATTGTGCTTTGCTGGAGGCCCGATCTCTTGTAGCTCTGGTCATCACAGGCTGACAGGTGGCTCTTGCTCTGAGCCATGTTTGGGCTAATGACACGCTGACACCATGTAATCGACTGATTTTTCAGTAAAAATAAATACAAGGACGGTATGATACAGCATGACACATCCCCGTAATCAGTTACAGAAGATGCTTAAAGTTAGTGGTACTTTACATGTTGCTGCCACTCCTGTTAGCCTAACAGTCTGCTGATTGGCTTCAGCATGTGACACTGAACCAGTGGGTGTGTCTGTGGGCAAGTCACTGCTGTAGACCACAGCAAGGCTCGCAAAATTTCAAAATCTCTGGTAGCCCGTCGGGCAGGCATTCTTCAGTTTTTGGTAGCCCAAAATAAATTTAAGGAGCCCGAATAAAAAAGAAAGCAATTTTTTAATGTTTTGTTTCCATTACAATATTATACATTACAGTACAATATTGTAATGGAAACAAAAATTCATCAAAAAAATTGATCAAATAAAAATCACAACAACTGTATACAAATTACAATCATCAACTCAAATACTTGGTTCAAATTGAACAGAAATTTCTATGAACTTGTAAGAACTGTGTAAAAAAATTTGCTTTTTGAAGTTTGCAAAGACTGTTAAATTTTGCCAATGGTAGTTCACTTTTTGCAATATAGCACGCTGTTCTAAACAGCTTTTTCAGGAGTTCTTGTTGTGCTTGGTTTATTTTTAGTATGTTTTTTGCAATTGCTGTTTGTTCCTGGAAAGATACTGCAGACTGGGCAATAATGCATTTCTTGCATTTCTCATGGGTTCTGATGCGGTCTTTCTTAAAACTACTAGTCCCAGTAACAAAGGCGCTTGTCGACTCAGAAATCAAATGAAACTCACAACACACTTGGCAGAACATCATGTTATTTAGCTTGTCATATTCCAGCCACAGAAATTCTTTTGTCCATGAAACCAAAAAAGCTGCACTTTCTTTTTGCCTCATAGTCTGATTTGTCATAACTTTTCCGTTTTGTGGTAAGCTTTTCTTTGGCTGCCCCTTCTTCACCCTGACCCGTCTTATTTGGCTCAGCAGAACTAAAATACCAGCGTAAATCCTGCTGCTTTTACACACGCACACACAACGGTCAGCGATTCTTTGCGCACTCAACCTCTCACATGTTTAAGCTTGCTGCGAGAGATTTCACTTGTCGCGTTTGAACAGTAAGCTAATGAGTGATAAGATGAAGTCAGAGGAAATGGTGCGCAATTAATCGTCACTCACCAATCAGTGCTGCTGCTCTCTACAAACCATTCGCGCGATCGCAAAATGAAAGTGAAAGCAAAAAAACAAGCGCAAATTCAAACACGATTTCAATATGTCACATATTGACAGTGGCTCATCGATGCCAATGACATAATTACTCAGCTACATTGGCGAAAGAATGCAAAAGCATAGACATATTTTCCTTCCTATGATAGCCCGACGGGCAGGGCTGAGTTAGATTTTGGTAGCCCACTGGAAAAATCGCTAGCCCCGGGACGTCGGGCTAGCGATTTTGCGAGCTCTGCACCCGAGCTGAATCAATGAAAAACTGCCTAATTTAATTTGAAAATGTTTTTTGTTTTTTTTTGTTTTTTTAGAAAGGATGTTCTCCCACCACCACAACCCCCTCCAAAAAAAACCCTAATAAATAAATAAATAAATAAAGCTCTAATTGTTTTTAACTTTCAAGGGAGCATGTGTGTTATTTTGTGTGTAGGACACTGCGGGCAGATTAAAGCTGATGAATAATTAAGTTGACTTAAGAAGCTCATTAAATCCAGGGATGGAGCAGGCAGAGCAACAGGGAACCGAGTCCCTAAGCTGCTATGAGACCTCATTTCTACTGAGAGCTACTGCTGAAAATCCCCTTTGATTCTTTTCTAAAACACTCAAATCTTTTTTGTCGTTGTTGTTTTCTTTTGGATTGGAAGTGTTTCAGGCCATTGGGGAAATTTATTGGAGCAAGAGTTAAACCTATAAGACCTTTAAAGCCTGAAACAGTGAAAGGTAAACAGGGGAACAATGTGCACTTAACCATGAATCTGTCAAAGATCTTTGGAGATGATCTGCTGTTTCTAGCTGAGTAGTTAAACTGAAGCAGATCTGAGATGCTGAGCATGTATAAAAGGTAACCTCATATATTACTATTGTGACTCGTACCTTTCTGACCCCAACTGGTCATGGAGGAAGCAAAACAATTACCAAAAGGTCTCAGAAGCACATGATAATACTATTGTGCCAAAAATTAAAAGAAACATATGGAACAATAGTCCATAACTGGCTTCTTATTAACAGCCAAAGCTTTTTTAATGGGCCGATCCATTATGCTGTTCGACCAGCTTTGCAAAGCTTGCCCATCCTCCTCCTTAGTCTTCAGTCTCAAAGGCTGTCATTCTCCACTTTTCATGTAACCTATATAAAAGCTTTACTGAGGGGACTGTGCACTTCTCAAGCATAAGTAGTCAATGCTTTACAAGCTGCTGACTCAATCTGAGGCCATTTGAATGCTTTATACTCTTCAAACACTTTATCCTTGCACTGGATTCTGCAATGACCAGCTACTCTGTTTTAGCTTTCAGTTGTTTAGCATGTAATATCTTCCTCCTTGTTTACTTCAGACTTAGCTAAGAAATAATATTATGAATCTTATTCACTTTTTTATACTTAATACTCATTGATTGTGCTGTTGACATCCACTTTTCTGTATTTTCTATAAACTCTGGTATTGCTGCTAATTTGGGCCTCCTCCAGTTACATTGATCTGCTTATCCTTAGGTCTCTTTTGTTATCCACCTGAAATCAGTTCTTATTTCTTATTTCAACTTAGTTTGTGTCTATTGTGCTAGCAGTATTGTTGCTACTACTAAGCCGGTCTGTGTTCAGCTTTCAGAATGACATGCAGGAATAAATCTTCTCATATATTCTTTTAACATATTTGCTTAAAGTTACATTTGGTCAAAGTGCTGGTATTGTATAAAAGACTGTACGCTGCCACTCAGACTATAAATATATCATCTTTCAGAATATAATTCTTTGTCCGTATTGCCCGGCCTTATGTTGTATCCTTCACTGAAGATGTAGCTCACACTCAGGACGATTGAGCTGAGATATCTTTGCAAGGACAACATGTAGAAATAGCTCTGAAATTTCAATAAAGCCTCACCTCTCACTAAAAATATGGTTCCGGTAGCTTCAGGCACAACATTAAGGCCACCTGCCAATATTATGTTGGTCCATAGTTTGCTGTCACTACACCCCTAAAGGTGTGCTCAAACATACCTTTGTGGGCCCTCCACAGATTGTTCAGGACATCCTACAGATGCTCAGCTGGACTGAGATGATGGAATTTGATTTGAAGGCCAAGTCAGCACCTTGAACTTCTCGTTGTTCTCCTCAAACCATTCTGAGAACGTGGACGGCACAACCCAAGGTTCCCCAGCAGAACATTGCCCAAAGCATCACGATGTACGCCCTCTTTACTGTAATACTTCCTGATCCCATGTGTTCCCAGGTAATACACACATGACGTTAAGTCAAGTCCTGATAATCACATGCCCATTGCAGGCGTTTCCTGTCTGCAGCTATGCAACCCCACGTGCAAACCACGATGGACTGTGTATTCTGACAGCTTTCTATCAGAACCAGCAGTGAGCCTTGGCCACCCATGACTCTGTCAACTATGGTTGCTCTATTGGACCATTTTTGATACTGACAATGGCAGAATGTGAATACCCCACAACAGCTTCAGAGATGTTCACACCCTGTCATCTAGCCATCACTATTTAGCTTGTGCCAAACTCATCCAAATCCTTATGCCTCCCCATTTTTCCTGCTTCTAACATGAACTTTGATAATTTATTAAGTTTCTTGCTGGTGCCGTGATGAAAAGATGATCAGTGTTATTCACCTTACCTGTCAGTGATCATAATGTTACGCTTGATCAGTGTATATTTAAAGTCCCACAGTAGCGACACACAGCTTTCTTACTGTGCCTTTAAGAAGACAACACTCACTCTTGGCCTTTTCATTCTTGCGTGACGGCCTCCAGCGGATGCAGGACTTGTGTTCGTCCAAATAGAAGAACCGCACGAGTCCCTTGGAGCTGCCGCGGAGCTTCAACATCTGGGTTCCCATCTGCATGGAGCTCATGCATTTCTCCACTACAGGCAAGAAAACACAAAACAAAACAGACAGACGAAAACACGGAATATTGTCAAAAGGGAAACTGCTGGAATGTGCACTGAAATTCACAGGAAAGCATGAAACAGAAATGTACATACAGTGCATGTTTTCATTCAAGAAGTATGTATGTGCACATGAATATATATATTTGTAGTTCATCAAAATCCATCAGAATTGTAAAGCAAAGTAATTGCTCCCTCCAAAGCAAGTGAATGGTGTGGTAATCACAGTAGAGCCACACTAGATGGTGTGGGAACCACATGTCCCTGTGCCGTGGTTACACCCCGCCTGACCACATCAGTTTCATTTTTCTGTAGCATCCACTGTTTTCACAGCAGCATGCAGGAAACTAGGCCACATCCGCATTCACACATCCACACCATGTTAGGACACCTAACATGCCTGTTGCATTAGTAATGCTGCATTGAAGGTAATGTGAGGCAGGCAAACTGTTTTTATTAAGAAAGTGGGAATCTGTCCTTAAAAGTGTTCGTGCTATAAATTCTCACCAAAAATATGCAGATAGTGTTTGTACAGCAGAAACGGAGCTGTGGACATACAGACGACCCGCTATGATCATGGAAACTAATGCACTGGATAATCTTGTGTGGCAGAGAAGAAGTGAGCGGCCTCTTGGCTTTAAGCGAACACTAGTTTTATTTTTTTGAAGAATCAATAGTGAAGCCACAACAATGTCCACAGACCAATGCTTCATCACAGCATGCCTATTGAGCTGCACCACTCACACATTTTTCACACCGTACACCAGAAACAGCATTGATTTCTGTTTTTCTGATGAAAGATTTTTGTTACAATTTAGATACAAATTTTGAATGTCTGTTTTACAGTAACAGTCAAGTCATTCTAATGCTCTGTGTTGTCAATAAGTCTAAGTGTCAAGTGTAAAATATTTTCAATTGTTCAAAAAAAACAAAAAAAAAAAACCCCAAAAAAACCCACCTGACTCGAGCCATATCAAGCTAGCAAATTGCTCCCGTAACATAATCAAGCTGTGAGATTTTTACTGTACTCCACATGGCAGAGCTACATAAAACCCTTACAGTAGTACTTACAGTAACACTAGCACAGTTGTGTGCTATGTGTGCTGTGTGTAAGCCCGCTGGTATGCTGCAGCAGTATGCTGCAGTATGCTGTGATGTGTTTTTTCTTTCCCCCTATGACATATTGCAACATATTGAGCAGACGTCACAGATTTGGGATGAATGCATGAATTAAAGAAATGTTACAGCAAATCAAAGCATGTGCATATAGTGTTTCAGGACAACGTTAACTACTCAAAGAAAGTGTACACATTTTGCATGTTGTTGAAATTTTAAAATAATGTTTTATGGCTCTGAGTTGGCCTGAATGTGTGCACTGTGCTTTCATGAGCTTGAGGCATCACAGCATGATAAAATCATATAAGGTAGGTCATATTTTAGTCCATTCTTATAATGCCCATCTTAGACTTCTGTAGAGAACCTTTGGAGAGCTTAGGACATAACATGCATTACATGTTAATTGTCATGTGGCCGTGTCATGAAGTTTCATATGCAATGGCAGCTGGTAGAGAAATATAAAATCCAGGTGCTGAACCTGCCAATCACAGCAGTTGTGGGCTGCATCGACCAAGCATAAATTGGGTATAAGTGACTAAAGGCAGCCAAACTCCAGTACAAATTTCTTAGTGCCTAGTAGCTGTAACAGAGCTGGGGATCTTCACTCTTCTAGCCAAACAGAGGGCAGTTATCCATGAAATGATCTGATGTCACAGCATCCAGACTCTCACGGCAGACTGTCACACTGCTGAAAACAATGCCTTGAAACCCATCGAAAGCCTCATCTTCAACCCTTTGTCAAGTCTGAAATAAATCCACTCTAGCAGTCATCGCTGCATACATCGAGAGTTCTACAGTCAGCTCTTCACTGATTTTAGAGGGAAACTGTCAGGATGTCTATAAGGTGAAGAGCAAGCAGACTGTCCATTTTGTGAGCATGTTTCATTTCAACACATCTAATCAAACTGTTTTCAAAGAGACCCATTTCAAGATGGAACACACTCAGCTTTATGGTTGGCTTAAACACAATTATAGCACATATGAGGGCGCAGCAAAGGAAAGCATGCTCTGCTCACCCTCCCCTGCAGGTCAGCTAAAAGAACAATATGTTTGCTGACATCCTGTAGCTGGCCAATGTTGGAAAATCCCTTGGGAAGTTTAGTATTTGAAATTTCTTCCTGGTGTAGTTAGCTAAAGAGTGCTCACAGACAAGTAGCATAGCTTGGAAAGTTACAGGTTTCCAAATTAAATGTTACTTTTCAACACTGTAGCCCGTGGCTACAGCCTGCTAGTAAAATCATGAATCAACCAGTTTGAATCATGCATTTAAATAATGTACAAATGTAGCATGACACCAATAAATCCTCAAATCATGTAAGAAAATAATAACAGAGACCTCACAGGACAGAGATGAAGGAATACATCTGTCTGTTGGTAACACAGCCTGTGGGAGGCTGACTGAGCCCGGGTAACACAAGCTGCTGTAATCAACACAGCATCAGTCTGTTGGCTTAGTTTGAACTGTTCACAATTGGAGTCTAAGCTCCAGTAAGTCCACAGATCAGATGACAGGGAAACTGTGCCTACATGAAGGTACACAGCTGTTCTTGTTGGTTGTTTTTATGCATTAAAACTCAAAATACCACAAAGAGCTCAGTGCTTTCACACCAGTAGAAATCGAGGTTTTCTTCGTGCAGTTGAAAAACTCAACCCCACTCGTTTATCATTCTGTATGCAGATGGACAATGGTCCATTAGAATTTGAGAAAATGATCCTGCCACTGATCCTGGCACGTTATCAATCCCATTATCAGCTGATCAAAAACACCATCATTATTAAAAATGCCCTTTATGCTCCGCTCTGTTGTTTTCTCACTCCAACCAGGTGGTGTTACTGATCTGCCCTCAACTACAGCTCAACATGTAACTGCTCTAACAGTAACGACATGTTTACAGAGCTGCCTGATCCTGCTCAGAACCACAACAATCGCATCCTAAACATGAACAACAGCTTTTAGACACAAAACTAGAGCATGAGTCACACAGAAAAGCTGTACAGTCGACACCACTGGGTGTCTGGGCTTGTTGCCATGGTTACAACCTCACACTTAAAGTGCTGGAATTTCAAATGGATAAAAAAAGAAAAAAGAAAAAAAAAAAACAGGCTCAGACTCTGAATGTATGATTAATGACACTACAGAAGTCCTAAGAAGAGAACTTTTCTTTATCCAGCTATAATGGTGAAAAGAAAAAGAGCATCACTGAGATGCAGCACAATAATCGTTTTACCTGATTACCTTAAAAATAAAAAAAAAACCACAACAGCAATCTCAGCTGAAGATTATTAAAACTTTAAATGCACAAATGTTACCATTATGAAGAATAAATAGAAAAAGCAAACACAGCAGCTTTTTTTCCTTCCTTCCTTGGTCCACATTTTATATTGTTTTACGTTATGGTGACACCCGGTGAGATCGTGTAGATCAGCCATTATTTTTGGTTTAATTTTATTATCTTTATTAAGTGTTTATCTTTATGTAATGTTCACATATATTGTTAATTAAACATACAATTGTTAAAAACTGCATCTTTTTGCAGGCATTTTATTTTAATTAAATTTTAGCTTATGAGAAGCAAAAACAAATGGCTGTCCAGTCGGGAGTTTGACCAACATGGACTTAATCTGGAGAGGGGACCTGCTTGTCCCTGCTGTCCTGCAGCCTGAACAGTGGGATACAGAAGAAACTCGGGTGGCATTCCAATATGTGCATCAGTAAAACCACACAACAGCCATGGAGGTGCTGTTAATCTCTGTCTCTCTTCCACAGCGTGTTTGCTGTCCTGCCATCCTTGCCTCATCCCCAACCAGTCGCAGCAGATGGCCCCGCCCCTCCCTGAGCCTGGTTCTGCTGGAGGTTTCTTCCTGTTAAAAGGGAGTTTTTCCTTCCAATTGTCACCAAGTGGTTGCTCATAGGGGGTCATATGCTTGTTGGGGGTTTTGTCTTTATCTTATAATATAAAGCAGCTTGAGGCCACTGTTGTTGCAGTTTGCTGCTATATAAATAAAACTGAACTGAACAGGCATTAGTGGTCCTTGTGAAAATCACTTATTTAACAAAGCTTAGCAGCTTTGTTAAATAAGTTAAATCAGTAACCAGACAACAGGTGGCAATGGAAGTAAAGTTGAGGCCTGGATCTCAGTGACGTGGCAGGATGACCTGAATGTGGCCACTGACCTGCTGCAACAGTCACAATGTGGGCCGAGGAGATGGACTTGGCTATTCTCCTCAGTCAGGTCACTGGGTTAAGCCCAGAGCGAACCATCTGTAGATGGGCCAACTGAGGCAACAGACATAATGAAGACTGACAAAGTCACTGTGTCAGTGAATTAGAGACTACAGTAAACCTATAATTAGCAAAGGGATCTCGTTTGAACAGCACCTACATGTTAAATATTGGGAACCAGTTTTCTTATAAAGAATGTTGCTGCAGCATCATCTGTTGTTAGAGTTGGGGTTATTTCCACTCTACAGTTTAAACTTCCTGTTGGTACAAAGTTTAAGATGCATTTTATAGCAGTTCATAAACAGCACATTACTGGTCACTGGTTATGAGAATATGAAGGACGACTGTAGGAGAGAGTGGTTAATTTAGCTTTTGAATTGCCAAACCCACTAACCAAATCCTACAGTTCTGTGATTGGTCTTGTTTGCTTCCACAACATATTCGGTAGATGAAGCTCTTCTTCAGCCTGGTCATTGGTCCACACCAAAGTTTGACTCTGAACTTTCCCACAATAAAAGAATCAGCCTGGGTTCATTAAAACAGACCCAACCCACTCAGCTGTGGAAACACTACCTCTGTGCAACATACATGTGATTAAGCTTACCCATGTAGCCCAGTCTCCACTTGGAAAAGGCCACAATGCTGCTGCCTATCCAGAAGAATTCCTCCACCACATGTGTCAGAAAGACCTGCTGCTGGCTGTTATTGGGAACAACATCTTTGTTTTTGTCCTCTTCTGTGATAAAAGCCCCTTTAGCCAAAAGTCCAGGCTTGTCCCCAGTCGCTGCAGCAGCGGTGGTACACACGAGGGCTGAAGACAGCGGGCTGACACTGAAGATGCTGTTCATCTCGGATTTGCTCACTTATAACAGAGATTGGTTTTGATGCTGCCTCGAAGTTGCAGAAATGTTCCCACAGACAGTTAATCTGAATCAATGTGGATAATCTTTGGGTCAATTAAGTTTGCAAAAAAAAGAAGTCACAACTTCTTTAAAGTGAACGTTCTTTACGGGTAAACCATCCAACTCCACTAACCACAAGAACAAAAGGATTATTATCAGTAATATCAGGGGCTGCTTTCATGTTTAGCTTCAAAACAGATGCAAAGAAAAAAGCACACGTAAAAATTTTTTTTTTAAAAATCACTCTCTGAACACTTAAAACAGTTTATCAATAATCTTCAAATGTTATTGCATCAGCAAACCTGCTCATCTCAAAACCATCTCAATATTGTTCCATTTCAGAGCAAAAAGATGCAGCTTTGGTGCCGTGTCGTTGTTTCCTTAGTCCCCAGGATACACTCAGCCAAAACGGCTGGCTTCTCATGAAAGACAGAGAGAATGCAGCAATGGACAGCAGAACAGACATGAAAGCACAACTCACAAAGGTAACTGTGCAACATGTGTTGGGCAGGCAGAAATCCTAAATCCCTAGCAAGCTGTAATCCCAGTCCAGGAGATTTGCTAAATGTGTGAACTGCAATGCAACAACCAACAGGAAGAGAGTGAGAAAAGTCAGCAAGGCTTAACAAGGTCATAATAAAAATGTTCCAAAACCAATTAAAAAGTCTGTTTAATATGAGTCGTGTCAACGGACATTTCTTCTGAAAGAGAGGTGTCAGGTACCCCCACCCATCTGCTGATATCGCATAGTCCCAGCTAAATCAAAGCACCTAGATGCCGTCTTACTGGGGCTCAGATATCGGTACATATGAGGAGTTTACCATTATCTTGCACCAGATTAATAAATTCATCATAAAACAGGTCAAATTCCAGGCTCGTGACTGTGTGATGCAGCAGTGTGAGCATACTGAGTCAAAATAATGTCAGAGGCTTGGATTGAAATCCCTGAGCTTGACAAACAGATACCAGATACTGAAGACAGAACAGCTTAATGTAGAAAAATGACAAAACCATATGAAACTACAACCAAGATTACATTGATAATATTTGGAATTTTTATTTCTATGTTCAGATTGCATAAAAACTAAACGTATGATGCAATTTGACTTTTCCTCTTTTTCTGGTACCACAGGTAATGTAGGCAGCACATGTACCACAGCTGCAACTCTTATGGAGGTGATGGTGGCAGCACACGCCTTACACATGAAAAAATAAGGATGCCCACAAGCACAGGAAATGCTACACATGGTGATGCCATAACAGCTCGGCTCTCTAAAAGGCACCAGGTATCAGGTAACATGCAGATATCACGTGTTCCCATTCACCATTCAAGAGAACTGGACCCAGTTGATTTACATGCGAAATGATTGTACAAATGTGTTTGTGTATTTTAGGAATTTAAAGGCAGAATGAGCTGAGGCCACAGCAGATGGCCCCGCCTCCCTGAGCCTGATTCTGCCGGAGGTTTCTTCCTGTTAAAAGGGAGTTTTTCCTTCCCACTGTCGCCAAAGTGCTTGCTCATAGGGTCATATGATTGTTGGGTTTTCTCTGTATGTATTATTGTAGGGTCTACCTTACAATATAAAGCGCCTTGAGGAGACTGTCGTTGTTGTGATTTGGTGCTGTGTAAATAAAATTGAGTTGAATTGAATTGAAAATTTCCAGCATGAAATCCTATGTTCTATTTAGCTAAACAAACAGGTGGCCACTCCATCTCTGATAAACCCCACTGTTTGGTCTCAGACTGTTGAGACATGGGATTGTCACTGTTTGCACAGCCTTAGCTCAATATCTCTCTGCACTGAGCCCACGTTGATAACAAGCCTCGTCATTATGACACAAGATATGCACTGACCAGCCACTTTATTAGGTACAACTTTTGCCTATTACCTATTGCCTTCAGAACTTTCAGAACTCTAAATTTTTTGCAGCATAGTTTTACCAAGGTGCAGGAAACATCTAAGATTTGTCATCATGTCATTGCTTCAAATTTGTCAGCTGCACATCAACCATGCAAATCTCTTATTCTCATCCCAAATGTCCTCTAGTAGATTGAGACTTGCTGGAAGCCATTTGAGTACAAGAAACTAGTACAACAGATGTCAAACTCATTTTACACGGTGTCCTACATATGAACCAGGAAAATTCCCCTGTAAGTGTAAAGATGTAAACTGCATATTTAATCCGTGCGATATCTTCAGCTCAATACATGTCTCAGTTTTTCTACACGATAAAGAAAAGCTGCTGGAATAAATGACAGAAATCTGTCAGCGCTTTTAGTCTGTACTGGGGGTTTAATCTTGTCCCATCTTTCCAATATGCCAGTATATTTGTCCATGTTTGAAATTGGTCTGATGTTTTCAACATCGCCTCTTTCAAGTGAACAAGTTCAAAACCAGATTGGAAAACTCTGGGTCGACTTGAAGTTAGAAAACACTCTTTGGCAACAGCCTAGCCTGATCGCTGACCTAGTTAGCTGACCTAATGAACAAATACAGGCGGAGCTTCTACAACCAACCCTTCTTGGAACACCGTTAACTTCATTCCATACACATATTAATATTATTATTACTACTACATGGCAAAATGTTACCCAAGAACTCAAAACCTGCCCTGATGTCTTATTATTATTAACATATAATACAATCCTGCCAAGTGAGTAATTTACTAATAACACCAGACATAAACATTTACATAATTAGTGATGGAGTGTGGTATGTAGTCTGAGCAGATTAAGAAAACTGGAGTACAAATAACGGTCGATCACTCACCATGACCTCGGCGTTTGGCCTTGACGATTCTGCCAGGCAGACATTTTGAAACACTGTTTTCAGACAGCAAATTGGGTTTATAATATACTCGTTTGCGCACGTTGGCCCGAGTGGCATAAACATGAAACTTAGGGAACTCATCCCTGAGATACCAAAGACATGCCGAATGGTGGAAGGACGCAATTTGTGGCATAACAGCTTTTGGATATTATTAAATAAGACTAAAAAGAGACCGTCCACTTCCGGGCTTGCCGGTCTTTTTCACTTTCAATATTATGAAAGCCTTAAAAACAGAAAGAAGATGCGACGAAAGCGGCTTAATAATTTGTCGTATTCATATCCACAGATGGTCAAATCGCAGAACAACATTATGCCGGATGTCATTTTGCAGCCGGGTCCTGCACGTGTATGCGCATGTCGCATTGAGGCACACTTTAGAATATCGGAAATATAAACTCTATAACACAACATTTGTGTACAATGTGAATATTAAATGTTAAAGCATGTGTTTAGAGTATTTCCTATTTTTAAAAAAATACAAAATACACACTCTTGTCCCAGTTTTACAAACGTTTATTAGTCTAATCCTTTCATTTTACTAAAGGGATGTTTGATTTCATATATCACACCTTGACACACTGACATCACTTTAATGGAATTATTAGTGTAAAGGATGGTATTCCTCTTTGGAATTCTGAGTTGTGGATATATTTTCTAATCTGTCAGATGCAGAAAGTCTCTGATGAATAGTGAAAAGTACATTTCCAGCTTTCAGTTTAGTTTTCTAAAGTGTTTCTCTCTAAAAACACCACTTTGTGCTGGTATTGGACCTTAAAAAATAAGTCAACTAGATGTAATGTTGATGTTTTATAGGTAGTCCAGAGAAAAGTAGGACAAAACCCAGGTGACTAATTTTACCAGGTGAAACGTCTCCTTCGACTGTGTTGTTTAATCGTGCTAGAATCTGATTTTAGAGACTCTGAGAGGGTGCAGACTCTTGTCTATTGCAGCGGACACATTAGTGGCCCTCTGAGTCTGATGATTGATGACAAGCAGTGGGAAAGCTCCCTGTGGGCAGAGTGGGGGAGTGGAAAATCAGTAGTTTGTCATTTAAATACTATCACCTCACAGAAATATGTTTGCTGTGTGTGAGCCTCTGCACTAGGTGTGGAGTTCACTGACTGTGGTGCTAAAAACCTCCAGCAGCACTAAATCTGTACTATGGGACAGAAAAACTGAAAAAAATACCATCCAAGATTTTGCATCAGTTGCTGTTTCATGTACTTGTTGCTTGGCCTGCTGGTGCCCATCCATAGGATAACCAAGCTGTAGAGGAAACCTTCTTCAGCTTGATGGCTCCAAGGGCTGGGCCATATCCTACCGTTCACTTTTTTTTCTTTTTTTTTTTATTGAAACAAATTTTCATATACAAAACAAGTCAAGGAAACAGACCAGAATTGTAACAATTTACATTATAAAGATGGTGAAGCAAGTCATCATAACTTTACAGGGAGAAAATAAAAGTTTCTAGGGTCGAGTAATAAGGAACATAGACCTTTTGACATAGGCAGGAAAATTAGAATAGCAAGTATTTTGTGATTTTACAGTATACTGTAGTACAGCAGTTTTTTTTGTTCATATTTGAAATAAGCTTAAGTCACTTAAAATGTTGACAGAAGTAATTCAAGGAGACAGTAAACATAGGAGAGGCATTCTTCCACTTACATAAATGAATAAAAAACTTACATAGTACTATTACAAAATTGACAACATCTGAGATTTCAGAATCCAGATTGTCCATAAAGTAAAGAATATCCTTAGATGTGAAGGAAGGTACATTGGAAATTCTGAGTGAAACCCAACAGTGTATTTCAAACCAAAAAGCATTAACATACTGACAAGTAAAAAATAGATGCTCTAGTGTTTCTGGATCGGAAGAACAGAAAGAACAAGAGTCGGCCTCAAAATTAAACCTTTTATTCAGGAATTCTCCAACTGGATAAATGCTGGATATGATTCTGAAGTGTGTTTCTTTCATTTTAGGCGCAAGTGGGTATTTTAGGTAAAAAGAAAATGACATTTCTTTCAACATGCTATCAAGGTCATGTCTGACATTGACATTGTAGTTGCAGAATACCATTTGCTTAAAGGTATTAGAGATTAACTTATTATGAAATTGTTTGTCCTTTATTGAGGTATTACCTATTGTCAGTGAAGGTAAGCATGTTCTTATTAGTGAATACTTTAAAGTATTTACGATAAGATTTAACAACGGTGTGGGTAGTGCTTTACAAACCTTATTATAATTATTAAATGAAATGTCTATTTTATACTTATCAATAAATTCTTCATAAGATAGCAAGTTTCCATTTTTATCAAGCAGATCAACAACAAAACATACACTGCTATCATATGGACTTCTTATTGATGACTATAACCCTATTATTCCACAACACAGAATTGTGAGGTGAAAAATTGTGGGTGAAAATTATTTTCCCAAAATTCAAAGTTTGCTTATAGAAACTAGACAACTTAAGAGGAATCTTAGATATTTCATAATCACATCTGAGCAGAAAATCTAACCCGCCGACCTTATTAAAGAGTTTGTTTGTTGAAATGCAGTCTTTTATCCATCTGAGCCTGAATGCAGCAATAATGGATTCAAAGTCTAAAGCTTTCAAGACCCCATTTTCATAGTCTTTAACTAATTGTGATTTGTGTATATAATGTGTTTTATTCTTCCAGATAAAGCTGAATATAATAGAATTGGACAGCTTAACCATTTTAGGAGATGTCAAAATTGAATAACAGGGGTATATGAGTCTTGCTTTAGACAGTAAGATACGGCCTAATATGGATAAATCACGTGTTAACCAATGATTAAATATTTTTTTAACTACATTTAATCTAGGAGTTATGTTATTATTCTCTCGATCATTAGTATTTTTACTGATTATTAAACCAAGGTATTTTACCTCCTCTTTACTGGAATATTGTTAATAGTACTTTGATTACAGCTGTGTACAGCTAAGATTTCACATTTTTTAAGGTTTAGTGTTAAGCCGGATGCTTTTGAGAATGAAAGGATTTTATTAATTGCAGTAGAGACCATATTTACATTCCTCAGAAATAAGGCAGTGTCATCAGCAAATTGACTAATTTAAAATTCTTTATCAAGAATGTTTATGCCTTCCAGATCTGAAGAGAGTTTGATATAAATGGCAAGCATTTCTGCTGCAACAATAAACAATAACGGGCTAATAGGGCATCCCTGCCGAATGCCACGATTAATTTTAAAACTATTAGAAAACCCTTGATTGAGTGCAATACTACTTGTTATATCTCTGTACAACATTTTCACTACACTAACAAATCTGGGACCAAAACCCACAGCCTCCAGAGCTTTAAATAAAAAATTATGCTCCAAAGAATCAAAAGCTTTAAAGAAATCAAGAAATAAAATAAGGCTATCATGAGGAATTAAATGAATGATTGTAATCCAACATATCTAATACTAAACGGGTATGATGATGGATATGACGTCCTTTTATAAAGGCTGACTGTGTCTCATCTATTATTTGAGTTATTCCTGTTTTTAATCTGTTGGTATAGACATGAGCTAACAATTTGTAATCAGAGCAAAGAAGTGTGATAGGTCTCCAGTTATCTAAAAGAATAGAGTCCTTGTTTGGTTTAGGAGGAGTTGGAGATAGCATCTGATTATTTACACATTCATTAAACACCTCTAGTAATAGATCTTTAATGTCACTCCAGAAATATCTGTAAAATTCAATCGTGATTTACCACACGCCATTTGGGAAACAGCAGTATCCAATTCAGTTAAAGTGATTTCAGACTCATTGAGATTTTTAAAGTGTGTGTCAATTTGAGGAGTTTTTCCATGGATAGAGCTAAAAAAAGAATTAGTCTCCAAACTGGAATAATTTGTAGTGTAGAGGGCTGAATAGAGTCTGTTGGTCTTCAGTCAGGGTATTATTAATTTGTAACTTCATTATAGTTTTTTTTTGTTTGTCTAGTTTTCTCCAGGTTAAAGAAATAAGAAGAATTCTTTTCCCCCTCCTCAATCTATTTAGCCCTTGAACGAATGAAGGCACCTTTTGCTTTGTCTGTATAAAGTTCATCTAGTTTGTACTGCAACTGGTTTAGTTCTATAGAGTTTTCCTCAGTCAGATGTGATAAATTGCACAATGAACTTATTTTTGCAGTGATTTCAGCCTGTTTCTGTCTCCTTTTATTAGCCATTAATTTTCCTTCTTCACTGGCAATTTTTCTGACATTAAACTTCAACCATTCCCATTTACTAGTAGAAGAAAAATCCTCCATTGCTCTTACCTCTCCTATTAAGGATTTAATTTTTATACAAAAAGATGAGCTTCTTAAGAGGTTACTGTTAAACTTCGAGTGAGAATTCTTCGGTTCTGATAATCTATTATCTGGGGAGATTGAAAGTGTTATGGCACAATGGTCAGTAAAAGGGGAGTGAAGAATCTTACAGTTGGATGATAGGGGGAAGAGACTACCAGTTATTAAGCAATAATCCAGTCTTGAGCATTGAGAGCGCTCAGAATTACTCCAGGTGTAATGCAGTTTTTCTGGGTTTAAGTTACGCCAGATATCGATTAGGTTGAGGGTGCAGGAGAAATCCATTATTATTTGGTTAAAATGAGAAGAGTTATATTTAGTTGGAAATCTATCCAGTTTTTCATCTGGTACCATATTAAAGTCACCTGCAACAACGACTTTTTCAATTGAATAAATGATCTTCCATTTTTCTATCATTTTTTTCAAATCAGAAATTAATTTCCGGTTTTTAGCTCTATTGTTGAACCCATAAACATTTACTAAAATGTACTTAGTATCATCCAACTCTATGTTAACCATTAACCAATGACCTTCCTCATCACCTTTATGATCAATAACTCTTCCATTAAAACGATGTAGAAAAATAGCCACTCCTGCTGAATGAGAGGTACCATGAGATAAATAAATATCACCGCTTCCCCACTGCTTCCAAATTATATGATCATCTTTACTACTGTGTGTCTCTTGAAATAAAAAAACAATTCATGTTAGGCTGTTCCTTACAAAAAAGAAAAATCGCTTTACGCTTTATGTTACTTCTTAAACCTCGAACATTTAAAGAAAATATTGAAAGAACCATTGAATATAGCTTGAAAGTGCTGTAATAACTAGAGTAGGGCAATGGAACATTTTACCTC